CAGGGCCCTCCCTGCCATGCGATAGCCAAGATGTACAGCTTCTGCTTTTGCTACATTTTCCCTTTCCGCCTCTTTCTCCGACTTTGCCTGCCACCCTCTGAGCCCTGCCCCACCTGGAATATTAATCTTGCTTCGATTAGTAAAATAATATCCTGATGTTCTCACTGCTAACCCGCCTGACGTGATACCACTGCTTATTTTCCTAAAACATGTCTTGAATCATGTCGTTCTCCTGCTCAAAAGTTCTCAAGGGAGCCCCACTTCCTACTAAATTAATCTTACAACACCAGATTTTTAACCTACCCTTTCTGATGGTTCCATGTTTTAGTCTTTTATTTTTTCCAGGGAGCTCTATATATTTGTTATTTCAACTTTGGGTACACATTGGCTGTTCTTTCTGCATAATTTGTGAGACCTCGCCTCTGTACTATTGCTCATGCTGTTTCACTCCAGCTACCTGGTTCAAGTGCTGGCTCCATTATTGACTAGCTTTGTGCTTCTGTTTCTTTGTTTACGATAGGACATTAGCACCTACTTAAGAGGGGATTGTGATAGTGCTGTGAAGAAACCCATACAAAGCTCTTAGGAGAGTCCCAGGACAAAGTCAGTATTCAGTAAGTGCTAGTGATCATGATTATGATCATCCCTTTCAAGGCCCATTTCAAATCTACCTCTTTAGTTACGCCTTTTCGAATTGCCCAACTCAATGTTATTTTTTTCCTCTTTTTGTCCATCTCTGGACAAAAAGCATCTGACATATAATGCCCTGCTCCAGAATAGTGTGTCACTTATCTTGGCCTGGATTGGACTGGACACTTATTGAGGTTGAGGAACTTTTATTCATCATTGGATACTCTGAAGGACTTTGTATAGCACCAGACACATCAAAAGGACTTAATAAATCCTGGCTAAACTGATTTTACTATTTTAAAAACTCAATTCCACAAGCTGAGAAAAATAGTAAGTAAAGATAAGTAAATGAAATGCACACCTGGCTCAGAAGGACGTTTCTGGTGGAAGACACTGCGATGGATGCTGTTAGGACGCACGGTTCACCCTGATAACATCCTTTCTCCCCGTTTTCCATTGCAGGTCTGCTTGGTGGCCTACCTTGGTTTGTTTATGCTTTGTGTCTCATATCAAGTTGATGAACAGACATGTATCCAGTTTGTTATGAAAGTAAGTTGTCGTTTTTCTTTTCCTTTTATTGTCACATAGAAAGAAACCCAAGTACAAAATAAAGGAGAGCTTTTTAAGGGGTTGCATATCTGATTATCCCAGAAATTGCATTTTTAGGCAGGCCAAAAAATGTTTTAGGAGGGCATTGATCCAGACTCCAAATGTAATGCTAATTTTTTTTTAAGTCGTAATTTCCATGAACTGGGTTGGCATATGAAGTCTGCCTTTCAGTGCCCTTAAAAGGAATATTGAAAATTCACCAGTTCAACAAAACGCTTTTGCCAGGGAAAAGATGCCCATATCAGTGCCCACTTCCATATCTTGGGGGTTATTTCAAATGTTTTAATAACAAAGCCGTCTAAGCGTATTTCCTCTTGTAGGCAGGAACACTAAAATAGAAAAAGTACATTGGGTGCATCCAAATGATCTGTGCCAAGAGTCTGGGGGCAAAGGAGACAGGGAGTTGGGATGTGCACGGTTTAGCAAGTATGTGTGTATCTTACATGTGCATGTAGTTTTTCTATGTTAGAGACAGTGTGCTCAGTTGGAGCCGTTTCAAATACCCGGCATTTCCACTGCACTTAGAATCTACTCTAAAAGGAATCATACACACACCCTTTCAGAGTTGAGGAAGATAAACACCCAACTCAGCAACCAGAGTGAGTAGAAATCCAATCCCTACATTTTCTTTCAACTGCTATAGCAGAGCACAAAAAAGCTTTCTGTAATTTTTTTGGTCCACTCACATCGCGTTTACTTTTCTTCTACAAGAAAATACATAAAAACGGGATACTCCTTTGTTCACTAAAACAAGAAAGCATAAGGTATAAGAGTAAGTTAACTATATTATGTGGAAATTACAAAGGTGCAGCAAATAAGATGATAGTATATTCTAGTATAATTGGTGCTGTTGGCATAAAAAAAGCAGTGTGTTGATATATGTGTACATATATAATGTTGAAAAGAGTAGTTATTTGAATAAAAAAGTTCACATCATATTAACTGCAAAAACAGGCCACACAAATTGTACAGCATGATCCTACAGAAAGAAATGAGCTCTTATGTGCTTTAAAAAATTGTTGTCTGTGAGTGGTTGGGTGATAGCTGCATTTTTGTAGTTTTTTTCTCTAATTTTGAAATGTCCTCCAGTTAGACATCACTTTTCTAATTAAAAAATTTACTGGATGCTGTTTAAAAATAATCTTGGTGGATATGCCTACAATTAGAAATTTTACTTTTTCTGAGGGTGTTCCTTAAAAGAAGGCCAGATAAAGCAGGCATTAATCCATGTTTATTTTTTTGTAAGGCAAGGCTTGGTGATGATTTAAAAAAAAAAAAAAAAGCAAAAAGCCAGACAGCCTCGTAAGAAATGGCCTGTTAAATTACAGGGACTTCATCCACCAGGTAAAAAAATGCTCTAACCTGGCTTCATCATAGTGTGTGAAAGGCCCTCATTCCTCCCCAGATGATCCTAGAAACAGCAGAGGCAAAAGCATCAGCTTCACAGAGTCCTCCAAAGCCTTCTCAACATCTGCAGGTAAAATAAGGAGCAAGGGCATAAAAATGTCACTGCCAATGTCAGCCAGGTTGAGAATTCCCCACTAGGAACCTCTCATTAGCTGTCTTTTCCCCCACCTGTGACAGACACTGACAAACACTGAGGCCCTTTTCTCCTGCAGGTGACCTTTAGTGATGCTTCCTGCCAGCTCTCTAAGATGCCTGCTATCTTATCTTCAGTTAGAAAACGAACTTCAGTCAATCTCAAGGTTTTCCACAGCCACAACAGGTTACAGCAGATGTCCCTTGTGCTTCTCCCGCTATTTGGTGGGGGATGGGGGAAGGAATGACATACATCTTTCCTGTGGTGCTTCTCACTGGCATAACCACATTTTAGTGCCCCCCCACACACCCCCCGAATTGAAAACCAGGTCTTAGCTTTGAGAATTTATTTCCTCCTGTTGAAGACCCTGGTGCCTTGGTATATATAGCCTGCACACCCGCACGCATGTGCACACACACACACACACACACTTTTTTAAAGATACAATAGCCACGGAGCTTGTCTTTTCGTCTCAAGCTGGTACAGCCTTCTCCAGAGGCCCTTTGGCACACCCTGGATGCCACCATCATGTTCTTTCTTTCTCCCACGGGCCCCTGGGCTTGGCAGGCCATTCCCTCGTGGACTGGGCCTCCTGCGGTTCCTGGTGGCCGGCTTTCTAGGGGCTCACCTTGAGGATTTTCAGAAACGTGTCTGATTCATGTGCTTGCAGGAGCTCGGCGGGCCACATTCCCACAAGGGCGTTTAAGGCGCAATTGCCTCCTGCCCTCATCCAGGAGGCCCCTGGGCTGCAGCTGCCGCCTCCTGCGCAGCATGCTGTAGAGGGGCCTTCCCAGGCCTGCCACCCGGGAAGCTAATTAACACGAAGCCCAAACTCCCTCTTCCTGTAGTTCCCAAACGTTGAAGCTGCAGCCGGGTACCAATTAGAGGCAGCAGCGCGAGGAGCGGCGGCGCAGGGGTCTGGGTTACATAAGCGCCCAGGGCCATCGCGCCTCCATCCCGCCCGCTGCCCAGCGCCAGACGCACACCCGCAGACTAATGCGTCCCCAGCCGGGGGCTTTTAGCAAAAGGTATTTGCTCGCATTCCCAAGGTCATCGTAAACACTTTCATTGCTAGTTGATTCCTGCCGAGTAGGTAAAACAAGCCACTTGATTTTAAACTACAGATTCTAACCCAGAAGCTTGTTGCTGTCAGATGAGCTAAAGCCGCGAAGGAAAAATGCCACAGCGCTGCAGATGTAGCCCGCAGGCTTTGGGGGATCAAGTATACATTTATGTGTTAAGATGGGTAAGAAACTTGATGCTGTGGCTCACTCCTGTTTGTTTACTTGGCCGGATGCTTTCACGGAGTGGGAGAAGCAGAATTCCAATGTGTGAGGTGTGCACCGCTGACCAGGGTTTGTGCTCTCCCAGGCTGCGAGCACATTTGAGATGCTCAATTAAAACTGAGCTATCTCCGTGTTTAAATGTTTACATTCTTTCTATAGCTCAGTTTGCACTGTTCCTCCCACAGGGCAGAGAATAAGACAAAGCCAGTAGAGTTGATGGCCCAAGAGTCCTGAGATCTGACAGCTGTTTACATCTCTACTAATTTGTTTATTTCTTTCACAAATACTTAAATAGTGCTACTATGCACCAGACACTGTTCTAAGCCCTTTACAGATACCAGCTCTTTTGACCCTTATAATAATCCTGTGAAGTCATTATGATCATCATTCCAAGTTTACAAAGGAAGAAACCGAGGTACACCTGGGATTGTTTAATGTGCCCAAGGTCCATAGCCAGTGAGGGGAGAACCGGGATTTGAACTCAGTCAGGCAGTTTGATGCCCTGGTCCATACTCCTAGCCATCACCAAGTACTGCTGTACATGTATTAAATGTCTTGGGCAAATCTTTTGATCTCTGTGACAAAGGTCATCTTTAAAAAAATAGACACAATTCTCATTTTAACAAATGAATTTTTGTGATGATTATGAAGACAATATTCTTGCAATTATTTCAATTATTTATAGATTGAGAATGAGGGATTATCATCATTAATTCTAGATATTGCCCCAATAAATGCTGTAGAACTCTGCTGTCTACGGATATGTGTGTGTGTGTGTGTGTGTGTGTGTTGGGGATAGAAAGGCTATTATAAGACGACCCTCCCTCCTCCAGTTCCATCCATTAATGGCAATAAAATATGTAGAGACAACTCAATTTTGGGCTATTCTACTAAGTATATGACCCTCAGGTGGAAGATTATCTCTTTAATTTGAGCCTTCCCTGCTGGTAAAGTCGTAGATGTACCCATGTTCCCAGAGCAAATAATTCCAAGTTCTGTGTTGGCTGCATTGGAAAGTGTGCCACAATGGGCACGCATACACACACAACACAATTGTGGCCAGCACAATTTAATTTGGCTTTTGGCACCAAGAACTTGAAGTCAGTCATCAAGCCTGAATATTCTAGAACAACCCAGAATATTTCAAATATTCTGCCCCAATGATCCCTCAAAATAAACCTGCACTTTTTAGCCTAAGTGTGCCAGTGATGGGAGGAAATATGGCCACTGAAAATCTTGGGGATAGGACCAAGGCAATGGCATTTAATAACACAAATTAATAATTTCCTTCTTAAATTTTGTGAGGTGCCATTTTGTATTTATCTGGCTCCCTTTCTCCAAGGGAGAATAAATGTGTTGAGTATAAATTACTCTTGTTATATGCCTGAGATGTAAGATGTTTCAATAAACTGTTTCACAGGTGAAGAAACATGGATTATTTTTGATAATCCTTCAAATGATTTGAAAACTAGAAATAGTATGCATGGTTAAGATAGCTTTGATGAGAGGATCCAACGAATTCATGCAATCCTTAGCTGTCCATTTTAAGACAAAATGGTATTAACCTGTTCCACTGTCTTCCTGTTTAAGTGTACGATCAAGTGTACAATCAAGGCAAACCAGATGTACACTCAAGCTGCCAGGCAAACCAGACACATGCTTACGGCACCAGCAACTACATGTGCATCCATGCATATACACACACACACCACTCAGAGTAAAAATAACATTTTAAATAGTCTATCTTTTTAAAAAATATGTTTTTATTGATTTTAGAGAGAGAGAAAGGGAGAGGGGGGAGAGAAAAAGAAACATCGATGCGAGACAGAAACTTCTATCAGCTGCCTCCTGCATGCCTCGTAATGGGGACAGATCCCACAACCTGGGTATGTGCCTTGATTGGGGAATCAAACCAGCAACCTTTTGGTACATGGGATGATGTTCAACCAACTGAGACACACTGGCCAGGGCTAAATATTCTGTCTTTAAGACTTAGAAACGTTTGAAATTGTCAATGTGTGGAAAATCATTCATTTGGAAAACTTTTGTACACATATTTTATAATAATATATATATATATATGTTTTTATTTGAATTACATATAGTTGGAAGTGGGGGGAGGGCATAATCTTTTCAGAGCTACTTTATTCTGAACCTAGACATGATTGGAACTAACTTTACTTTGGGGAGTTCACATTCACCATAACTGCTCCTTGTAAGAAGAAGCAACTTTTGACTATCCTATCTAATAATAGAGAAACATGGTAATTAGCCATACCTTCGCTACCCTTCCCATTGGCTAATCAGCAGGATATGCAAATTAACTGCCAACCAAGATGGCGGCCGGCAG